CAATGTCCTTCCAGTCTTTTTTGGATCGTCTCCCCTGCAGGTTTGTCATGTTGAGGATGAGCTTCATGATGTCATCTGTCAGAAACAGGTCAAAGGTGGACTTGACGGTGCTGATTCGAGAAAGGGCGTGGTGAGTGGGCCCTGGGGTCAGACCAGTGGGCACAGGGATGTACGGGAGCGTCTCCGCAGGAGTGGGGGACCAGCAAATCCCGCTCCTGGACCTCCATCCCGCCGTCTCGTCTGTCTCTTCCGTCTCTCCGTCTCTCTCGGACGAGTCTGATGATTCAGAGGAAACCTTGGAATCCTCATCCTCTGTAACGTCTTCTATATCTGTCATCTCCTCCTCAATTTCTTCCTCTACCATTTCATTCATTTCTTCTTCCTGCTCCTGTTCCTTCTCCAGCTCGTGCCCCTTCACCTGCTCCTGCTCCATGTCCTTCACCTGCTCCATCACCTGTTCCATCTCCATCTCCTTCACCTGCTCCTTCTCCTCATCTTCATCTTTCCAGGAATGCAATGGGTAGCCATCCAAGTTGCATCTACTTAATAGATGTTGCTGCTACAGCACTTGCGTATACAAAGAAATAGACTGTGTCCAAAAGCACATGCTGCATAATAACACGACCGTCAGCAACGTCACTAAAAAAACGTGACCAATATTACGGGACGCGCGGCGTACTTCCGGTCCGAGCTCAGTTTGATAAGGCAGCATCAAGATAGCGCGACAGTAAATACAATTTAACAATATGCAAGGTTCATTACTAATACAGCTCTGTGGTCATTTTAATGTTATTTGGCAACCTTTAAAATGCATTACAACACGGAACTTTTATTTTAAGCCTCCGGTTGGCGGACTTTCTGAGTGCCGCAGTGCATTGTGGGGCGGTTTAGTATGACGTTTCATACTTAAAAAATCAAGCCGGGTAGTAGAGTCGGATCAAACTAAAATACTCAAGTCACATTGAGTGTGAATAGTAGGAAAGTCTGCGGTTTCATACACAGCCACTGTCTGAAAAACAAAACCATAGTTTGCTGTGTTATCCTCTTTGTATGGAAGCCCATTTCAGCCAGTTAAAAAAATAAAAATGAAAATAATGAAGTCAAAATAATGAGATAAAAAAGTCGAAAGTACGAGATAAAAAGTCATAATAATGAGATAAGTCAAAATAATGAGATAAAAAAAAGTCATAATAATGAGATAAGTCAAAATAATGAGATAAAAAGTCATAATAATGAGATAAGTCAAAATAATGAGATAAAAAAAAGTCATAATAATGAGATAAAATGTAAAAATTATGAGATAAAAAGTCATAATAATGAGATAAGTCAAAATAATGAGATAAAAAGTCAAAATTATGAGATAAAAAGTCAAAATTATGAGATAAAAAGTTGAAATTATGAGACTTTATTATTTTCATTTTTATTTTTTTTACTGGCGGAAATGGGCTTCCATATATTTGATTGTCGTTATTACTTGAATGAGTTAATGTTTGTGTATGTGGCATATGTTAAGGAGACACAGAAAGAGGGAAGTGACCTTAAAATTTCAAAGCCAAACTCACGTTTTATCTCTGACTTTTAGTATGAATCCTATTCAGTGGGAATGCGTGTGTTCGTGTGGATCAGCATGCGTATGGGTGGATAAGTGGTGGGAGATGTATTTGTCAGAGACAAAGAGGGAGGAATTGTAACTACTGCCTGTACAATATAATGTATTTCTCTTTAAAATGTCATAGATTGACATAGTATATTCTGAGATTTACATTTCAAAATTTTATTGAAAAAAAAACTCTGCCCTTCAAAATGTGTTGTTAGCACTCACACAGGGAAAAAACACAAGGCCTCAAGGTTCTCTGAGCAAGGTATTCATCAGACATGCACTACTTAGCAGAGCAGCTTTGATGATCTTACAGAAGTTCTGCCTCCTGTAAATAACAATTTAAAAACTCTTGCAGGCCCACTGAATGTGGCTTGTCTAGTTAGTAGATACATTCTGTGATGAGACAGATTTCGCAACATAATAGAAGGGACAATAGTGTTCCACATCACGGGACACAGAATATATTGTGTGCTGTTTTTAGGTCACACCCTTGACAATGCTTTTCCACATTCCCACAGATACATGCATGCACAGAAGAAAGCCCCTTTCTTACCTGGGTCTGACCAGTGAAATATAAAAAGGTCATTGGAAATAACACAGAGGAGGAAGTTTTCATTTCAACAAAAACAAACACATGCAAATCCTCAGCCCTGCAAAAGCAGAGCTAAATCTAATTGCTGCTATGGCAACCACTAACAGTAATTACCTTTCCGCTGTATTTAGTTTGTTAAGTTTAAGCCTTAGTTAGCACAGTATGAGACCAAAAATATGTTGGAAATTGTTATGAAATATTATAACTTATTTTCCCCTTTAAATATAGTTGTATTCACTTATTTTCCTTAACACTCATAGGATACAGAGAAATAATAATGTGGTTTCTGATGCTCTAAACATCGTTTTTTAACCATAATCTTCAGCTTGTTCACTACCAATAATACCTGCTGGTAATTCAGAGAACTTTGGGAGTTGCATCCCCCCACCTTCTTCTTCATTGTACCAATTAGCAAGGTAATAGAAACTTTGGAGTGGGGGGTGTGGGTGGGGGCGTTGTGAAAGAGCAGTTAAAGAAAAACTTGCAACGCGAGATAAATTCTCTAAACTATACAGACTTCATTCACTGATTGTTCAGTCAACACATGGTGGTACCTGCTGGAGATACCCGATCATTACCTTTAAAGACACATGTTCAATTGTTAATGAATAATTAACTAGGTTGGTTAATCTCGAACACCCCCCCCCCCCCCCGCTTGCTGCACTAACTTTAAGTAATGTGTAACTGAGCTAAACTGAACTTTAAACAGTTTATGTTGGTCTCCTACACGGCCACATGTAAAGATGTTGCCTTACGCCTTATGCTTTGCCTATCTTTTCCCTGATCAACTGTGCTGACAATGTCTCAGTATCAGCATCTTGGTTGTGTTGTTGTACACCACCAAAACCAGTTTTTCTTGTTGTTAATCATGGGCTTTAAACTGCAGACAATGTGATACTTGAATCTAAAATACTAATCTAATCTAAATACTTCGAACCATCTGTAATTTGAGTAGTTTTAGATCTATATTTGGCACCCGAAACAATCACAAACTGTTGCACTGTGCTGTAAAATAAAAAAGGTTTCTGTTTGTGCCTTTGAATTCTCTTTCCAAGGCTCAAATTATAATGGTGAATTATATCTGAAACCTGATCCCATGGGACGACCGCCAAGCAAACATGGCTTAACTCTCCTGATATTTGGTGAATTCTCTAATATACAGTTTGGAAATCTTTGCAATATTGTCTCATATACCCAAGTACTCCACATGGTATATTTTTGAGATAGCCGTTATTCCCTTCGCAATTAAAGTCCATTAGGCCAGTCTTTGATGGCATGGAGGGAGGAGGGGGGAAACTGGACCAAAAAACTAAAATCATCTTCTACTAATAATATAGTACATAACATTTTGATTGTTTTTTTTTTTTTTAGAAGTTATTGATCACGACACTAATGTGTGATCTTCTCTTATGAAAATCTTTCAATATTACAAAATAACAACAACAAAACGACATACTGAATGTAAAGAATGATAAACGAGGGAGAAAAATTGTAAGAAAATAGGTTTACTGTTAATATGACTGTTTATTATTGTGGGGACATAGTTTATAAAAGATTGTATACAAAAATCATACATTGAATGACAATATTCGTAATTGTTAATACAATAAAGAAACCTTTTAAGAAGCTGTTCTTTAATATTTGCAATCGTAACATAAAAGGAGTTGAGGAAAACATGCAAGAGGGGGTCCCTATTTGAGGATGATGCTATATGGGGATCCTTGGCATGACAAAGTACTCTTGAATTAGGCTACACAAGCCTACACGTAAGAGTTAAAGGTTACTAAAACGTATTGCTACTGCACACTTTAACTGTATTACATTTGCATCTTATTAGGAAATGTAGAGCATTCCCAATATGCAAAATCATGTTAGTACCAGTACCAGCTTGTCTATACAGCTTTTTGCAAATTAGTAACTAAATACCTAAATAAATGTTACCCACTTTGGCCATGTTTTGTCTGAATTGGGTACTTTTACTTATAAGTTGCCTACATTTTGATAACACATTAATTACTAGCGTGAGACTTTTGTGTTTCAGTACAGGAAAAGGAGCTCCTTTTCATACAGTGGTCTGCAAAATAATTTACATGAAAGGGTATTAATTTGGTACAAGTATCATTCAAATGTTAAAACCTACAGCCACTTTCTACCTGTTTGTAGAATGCAATACTTCTCTGTTAAATTAGAATTAGAATTAGAATGTCTTTATTGTCATTATACAATTGTACAACGAAATTATTTGGCTTCACCTTAAAGTGCACACACATACAAGCATCCACAGCTAAAAACAACAAAAGAAGAAAAAAAAAAAAGGAACTCTCATTCAGGTAAGATGGGTAGGAGTTATTTACAGGTAGTAGCATAACAGAATATGAATAGATATTGCAGAAGATATTGTATGAAATGTAAAATATTACAGAAATATAAATATAAATAAATATTGCACAGATCGAAATGTAAATATTGCAGAAATATAAATAAATATTGCAAAAAAAAAAAAAAAAGCCCACCTGTTGTGTACTTAGTCCCCTCTTCAGTTAAAATTACTCAGAATAACATTCTCCCCTTATACTTCCAAAAAAAAAAAAAAAAACCCGTAGCTCAAAGTAAACGTTTCATCACGTTTGAAAAAAACAAAAACAATCACTCCTTACCGCTTTGTATGATGCACTGGAAATTTGCCGCGGCCTTCTTACTATCACAAAATGATAGCCGTCTTGACCAATCACGACCGAAGAAGTCGCTTGTCCCCGCCTTCTTTTGAGCTCTTGAAAGTCCCTGGACTAATCAGCGCTCGCCTCCGCGCGTTCAGCCATTTTGTAAAGAAAATCAAGCAAGTCTGCCGCCCTACCTTCGTTTCAGACCTGCAGTTTTTTTCTTGTGCAATGGACGGGTAAGTGTAAAAAGAAACACTCTTTTTTAAGACTTTAATTTAACAAGGAGGGGGAAAAAAACGTAAACGCGCGGCAATCCATCTTCACATTACGGCGGACTTTTTTGACGCCTCGTTGTTTTTATTCGCCGTTTTGAACTCGAAAGTTTTAGAAACATTTTTTTTTTCCTTCCATCAAAACATGCAACAGTTAGGAGGAGCGGATGCTAACTAGCAACTGGCTAGTCGTGGCCACCGCTTGAACGGACATTTTTTTTGTTTTTTGTAACATTTTAATTTCCAACATTAGACAAACGTAACCCTAATGTTCACACAGATTCCACTTTCTTCCGTTTCTTTGTGGAAAAAAAACCCGTTTACACGTTCTGCTCGCTAACGTAGACACTAGTTAAGTCTCGCTAACTGTACCTTTTTGGTAACTTCACGGGCAGCTTGAGCGCTTGGCTAAAGCAACGTGTCTCATTTCCGCATTCACTTGTCTGCGGATTGCCAGGGCCATGTTGAAGATGTCTGGCCTGAGCATTTCGTGTTGATTGAATTAAGAGACGTCTTCGCCGCTCGGTTTTCTACACAAGGGTAGGACACTCGATAGCGTTTTGGTTTCGTTACATTATATCCCGCAAGTTACTTTTTCTGTTATTATCGTCTGAATTTCGACGGTTTCCGCGATTTCCGATGGAGCCTGAACGTCGCTTCGACATCACTTTTAGTGCTTTTGCGATTATTTATTTGTATTCCGTTGTATTGTGTGAGGTTTCCACTAACATTTCTCATGTGTATTGTCAACTCATTGCAGCCGCCTAGACGCTGAATTGTACCCTCTGGGATCCGGCTACGTCCCTGAAATTGAGTAAGTATTTTTTATGCATGACTGACGTGAGATTGTGGTTTTTTTTTTTGTTTTTTTTTTGAGTTGTGTTTATTTCTGAATTAAATTAAAAGCTTTATGCATGTTCTCATCCCCGAATGAGGAAGTTAGTTAAATGTGCTTTGCGATATATGTCATTTTGTGAGGACTGTGAGCTTCCTGAGTGCTCAATGCATTGCAAGTGGTCATTTTTCCCACTATTTCCTTATATTAATGAACGTTTCCTTCTTTTCACAGCAGTGTCCATGACATATCAGTTGGCACAAAGGTAGGCAACACTTAATCATCTTGGTGTTTGTTTGTTGTCACTTGATCCTTGTAACATTGCCTTATAAGATTAGTTTAACGTCAGCAAAATCGAAAGTTATGAAAGCTGGGTTTTTACAAACGTTTTGAAATTTCAACTTGCAACAAAAAAAAAAGTCAGAGGTTTGAATTTTCAGCTTGCTTCGGCTTCCTGTGTAATTACAGAACTGCTGCCAAACCATTTCTCATGTGTAGTGAGTTAGAAGTTGCATACGGTTTCTCATTTTGGTTTCAGATTTGCAATATGCAATCAAATGATCAGAACATAGAGGTGGCAGCAACTATCAAAACTGTAGAGAAGGAATATTTGCTATTTTTAAGTGGAAAAGGTTAGACCACCAAAAGCATGGTTTTATGTTTTTTTTTCTTTTCTCGTGTTGTTTTTCTGTTAGGTTGTGAGGCTGTTGGGGGAAATGAAACTTCCTGTTGTTTATTTTGTGTGTGTTCTTTAATAGCCTGTTGGCTGTACTGGAATGTTAAGAAAGCAGCTGAATCCTGCCTTGATCCTTTTTATTCTGTCTTGCTTCTATCACCAGGCTACTTGAACCAGTGAAACAAATTAGTACAGTGTTAATCTTTAGTGCATGAATCTGGTTTTACCATTTCTAGAAATGGGCTGGCTGCTGTAAGCTTTTGTAAAGAGAATAGAAGTCCCATTCTGCATGCAAACTTGTTTAAAATGTTGCACATTTGTTTTTGGCAAAGTGCTGGTTGTTAACTCGCGTACCCAATAAAAATGCCTGCCTAAGTAGTCATCCTTGGTAACGGCCTGGGGCAGCTATTTGAAGGTGGAGTAATTGAAGTAAGGGCTGTAACCATCCTCCCGTAACTGTCCTCATCCATCCGACCAAAGTCCTTATTGCTGTTTAAACAAGCACTGTAACACACGCCCATAACAAGGGACACACCCCAACACCCCCTCTATTTATTTCAGGACTGTGTTTTTAACAGTTTTGTTTGTTGGGTGATCAGTTCACAAGACATCTTTTTTTTTTTGATTGTCTTGTTTTCTGTTTTTATTTGCTGCAATAATAGTGATGTTGAGTTATGGAGCGCTGCTTTGCTGGAATCTGTAATTATTCTGTCTGGGCAGAGCGTCTGGCATTCCGCGGTCACATTCCAATCTCCCCCCCCCTCCAACCCCCGTGAGGCACAGCTCCCTGCCCCCCTGCACTGGCAAAGGCTGATCACAGTGAGAGAAAAAACATGTCTCTACCTGTGCTCTTTTTCTTTGTGCTTTTCACCGCCATTACCACCCAACAGTCCCTGCAACAGAGTCAAAAACAAGGTTGCTCACAAATGCGTACCCTTTTTAAACATTTCTTTATGTATGTATGTAAAAGAAATCCTTTTATATATCCTTTCCCTTTTTTGATACATTGCAAATGATTCCAAAAGCCCTTAAAAGTTTAGCTCATGGAGGCCATTTTCATTGTCCGTGAGAGGAAGCTGCTAACCATTCTTAGTATGTCGGCCAATGTGTCATCGTATCCTGAAGGCTACTATTATACTGTTACATCCTGTGCAAACAAAGGATGTGAACGAGTCAATACACATTTAGTGGGTTTGTGATGGAAAAACAGGTTTGGCACGGTGTAGGAGTCAACTAACAAACCATTTATAAGCTGTTTTTCTTCCACTGGCTCTAACACTTTTCCATTTGTGTTGCTCTACACTCCCTACCATACTCCCAGAGCTATAGGAATATTCTTCAGTCAGTTTTTACACAGTCCTCTGTGCTATAGGAATATTCAGTTTTTACACAGTCCTCTGTTCTGTATGTGAGTTGATGTTCCCTCCTCTGCACTGTATACAGCCTTAGTTATGTGGTTATTATTAGAATGAGGAAGAAGGGAGTGGGAGGGAGAGAAGGGAGAAAGCAAGTCTTGCCGTAGAACAGTAACCATCAGTCCCCAGGAGGAAGTTTAGCGAAACCCTGGAAGTAGGCCTGATCTTTTTGCTCTTCCTGTTTTGAGTTGGTCTGCTGACTGATAATGTGACACAGCCCGCCCACGAGCACCGAGTCAGGCTGGAGCCACTTCCTAAATTTCTCATGGCTTGCATCTGGCCTCTGCACTTACATCAAGCAAAAACTTGGTCCCTTGCATTTTCCTTTTACTCGCTAAAAGTCCTCAATCTTGCACTGTTAATAAAATTGCAATGCAATTTTCTTTACTACTACAAAACCTATCCCCTGCTGTATGTGAACAAAGAGCACATTCCCATTTTCCCCCTCATAATCTTTCCTTTGTATACATTGCTCCCTTTGTGTCTTGTAGCTTAGTGTGGATTTTAATCATTGTATGTCACTGATTGCCTGTCATGTTTGCACTCTGTCTCTTCATATTTGAAATGTTAGGGGACCCCGCTCCTCAATCCTTAATTAGAAAGTGTAGGAATGTGTCTTGTTATTTCAAGTTCATGAATTGCGATAGCAGACCCTGTGTGTGGTTGGGGGGGGCCTCAAGAGTGAGAGTGGCTGTCTAAGCCCAACCATCTGGAAGTCAAAGGGTAGTTTATACTACTGCTAACTGTGTGGTGCCCTCGGAGCCAGTAACTTTGTACCTCCACCAAACGATTGCTGTCAGATTAATTAACCCAGCCTTTTATCAGAAGATTTTGCAGTCTAACTCCTAAACCCATGACTGTCTTGCAAATGTAAAAGCCAATTCTCACAAGGTAGAGAAGAATGCTTGCAAACCTGCATAACCGGTTGTTTTAAAAGCGCGCCAAAGGCTCTTCAACTCCCAGAGAGTCCTTAGGGCTCCATATGTGTGTGTGCTGCCATATAACAATGCCGCTAGTCTCAGCCAGAACAGGACCTCCATTGTAGCGTGTGGTACAGCTTAGACTGCTGAGCCACTTCTTGTGACTGCTATACTTCATCTCCCACATCCACAAACACACACACAGCCCTGGAAACGCATTTTAAATCTACTAGACATAGAGAGAGACAACAGACAGTGAACTAGTGTGGGCTGGATGTATCCCCATCTTGTCTCCCTCCGTTTCCAGAGGGCTTCAGAGTGTTATCCTTTCTCCTAATACTGAATTATGAGAAGATGGGTTGTACTGACTGACAGCTGCTGTTGAGATAAGCTTATACTGCTGTCTTGAGAGCTTAAATCTGAACAGTAGCTGTTCATCAAGTGTGAAGAATGATAACTTGGCACATTGGCTCATGTCAGAAATAATGGCTCATCTGTGACTTAAAGGGTTTAAATTGGACATTGCTGTTGGAGAAGAGTCAAAATTGGGTTGGGAAGTCAAATATTCGTTCTTAAAAGCTTGTTCCCTAAATTCCTGCTGGTGGAGTTCTCCTCAAGCGTGTTTGCTCAATCCTCTTTTGGTTATCAGATTACTTCCTGCTTATCACACAATGGCTCTGAAATATGAGAGCCAAGCTCTCCACCTGCCATGCTGTGCCCTCATTGGTGAAAGCACTGAAGTGAACCATTGTTTTCTCTCCTTCTGCAGAGGGGATCCGACGAACTGTTTTCTTCCTGCATAACCAACGGGCCCTATATCATGAGCTCAGGTAGGGCTGTTGCCATGGAGGAGGGGGGGCCTGCATCCTCTTTTATTGAAGTGCTTGTCGTGTCTGTGTTGTTTGTGTTGCCATGGTGATCAATCCATTATTCAAGACGAACCAGCGCCTTCTGTTCTCTGCCTGATTGTATCTGCTTCTGTTTTCCTCGCAGCCAATGGCAACGACAGCAAAAAATTCAAAGGTGACGTCCGCAGTCCCGGTGTTCCGTCACGTGTGGTCCACGTTCGCAAGCTGCCCAACGACATAAATGAGGCTGAGGTTATTGGACTGGGACTGCCCTTTGGGAAGGTCACTAATCTGCTGATGCTGAAAGGAAAGAACCAGGTAAGGACAGATGCATGCAGGTGTCCTCACCAAACCTGTATGACTGGCACTGCTGGGAGAAATTTCTCTAAAGACGTGGGAAAAGGGGATCAGCTTCCAGCCTTTTGTCCTGACCTGATGATAATAACAACGACCCCATTGTTACATCCTTGTAGTATAGAAGGTGAACTTAAATTGTACTCGATGAAATATTCGAGAGACATGCTATGTCATTTCTATGAATGTCTTTATTATCTCCTGTTTTCTATCACCACAAGCTTGGTGTAAGAATTAATAAAGATGTTAAGTAAAACTGTGATGGGCAGTGAATACTAACTAGCACTGGCAACGATCATGATTTAAAGGGCCTATTACAGGTCTGATGAGTTAATGGGAGAGCTTGTTGAATATTGCCTATGTTTGGTGTCTTAGCATAAGTAAATGTGATGTTTCACTAATCCTCTCCTGCAGGCGTTCTTGGAACTGAACAGCGAGGAGTGTGCACAGACGATGGTGAGCTACTACTCCTCTGTCACTCCTGTCATCAGAAACCACCCCATTTATATGCAGTACTCAACCCACAAGGAGCTCAAGACGGACAACTCACCCAACCAAGTGGTAAGAGCGTGTGTTCATGCATACACCCGAGCTTTAATTGTCCTCTATTCAATTTGAGGCCTTAATGAAGCAATGTAATGTTGTGTTCAAGAATTTGGTTGCGAATACTAAAACGTGTAAGAAAGCTTCAACAAAGAACTGAAATACACTGTCTCATCCGGTCATTCTTTCTCTGTAGCGTGCCCAGGCAGCTCTGCAGGCAGTCAATGCACTTCACGGAGGAGGAATTGGAAGCATGGCCATTCCTGCAGATGCCAGTAGCCTTGGTGGTGGAGGACTAAGCCAAAGTCCTGTCCTTAGAGTGATCGTAGAAAACCTCTTCTACCCCGTCACCTTGGATGTACTACACCAGGTACAGACTGTAATTTGGCTGAGTGACCTCACCTGTTAATGTGTTTGATAAACTACAATCTACTGTTTCTCAATTACTCAAATTAGTGGAATATGCAACTGGGTTATTTCGATTCTGACTGATTAGAACTGATGCACAGCTTGACAACCTATTCCAGGCTCCATTTTTTTTTATACTATAGATATTTGTGGATATTGTTGCATTCTTGTCTACTTCCCCCTCTTCATTATTTTACCAAGAAATATTTGTCTGCAGCGCTTATTTATTTAATTTTCTGCACTACGATTCTGGTAGTGCTTCAAAAACATGTCATTGACTCTTGTTTTAAGAGGATATACATACAAATTGGGTTGTGTGTTAAGAATTCTATTATTTTTTTGTCAAGAAGGGTGTTGTTATGTTATCTCTGATCATGCCTTCTTCCCTCCTCAGATATTCTCTAAGTTTGGCACTGTGCTGAAGATCATCACATTCACTAAGAACAACCAGTTCCAGGCTCTGATCCAGTATGCCGATGGCATGACAGCTCAGCATGCCAAACTGGTAAGACGTGTATAACAAATGCTCTTTGTGTCAAGGTCTCAGTAAAATGTTGTTACCTTTTGAGTAACAGATTAACATGTGCTTTTTCACATTTACAGTTTAATAACCTGTGTGCTCCAATATCTTTCTCAGTCTCTGGACGGGCAGAACATCTACAATGCCTGCTGTACCCTGAGAATCAGCTTCTCCAAGCTCACCAGCCTCAATGTGAAGTACAACAATGATAAAAGCAGGGATTACACCCGACCAGACCTCCCAACTGCAGATTCACAGCAATCCCTTGACCACCAGACCATGGCAGCTGCTGCATTTGGTAAGAATGAGACATCATTTAAGTAAAAGTTTTTCCATCACATCTATAAATGGTAAACATGTATTTCTACATACTCCAGTTTTTACTTTAAGCACAGGTTTCACCATACATATGTTAAAAATGTATGTTTCCTCTTGTCCCAGCTGCGCCAGGCATAATCTCAGCTTCTCCGTACGGTGGAGCTCATGCCTTTCCACCAACCTTTGCTATCCAGCAGACAGCAGGTCAGTACAAAACTCTCACTTTTAAAATGATGCCTGTTTCCTGTCTTCACACGGCTGCATGCAGAGAAACCAATTAGCCTTTCTGCTGACTCATTTATTTCGCAGTCATCTTGTTCTTACCAGATACCTTCAGTATGAGGAGAGAAATATGATGGAATGATTATTATTTTGTTCCTCGTAGGTCTGTCCATGCCTGGTATGCCCGGTGCCCTGGCATCCCTGGGTATGAGCCATGGAAGCATGGCGGCGGCAGCAGCAGCAGCTAGCCGGCTCGGCCTGTCAGGACTCGCTCCCTCTGCGGGAAACAATGTCTTACTGGTCAGCAATCTGAACCCTGAGGTCAGTAAACTTGCTAGGCTTGAACAGATCTACATCCTGCTCTGTCAGTACAGTGCTGATAAACATAAAATGTTACCGTGCCATTTTTTTTTTTTTTACACTATGGTTCATGAGTCCATTTGTTCAAGGGTTCCTGTGTTTTTGCCCCCGATATTGAACCAGGTCTAGATCACGCAACTAAGAGCGCTCATACCAAAGTTTAAAATAAAGAAAGGGGGGGGTCATCAAGTCCAAACCTTTTCTCTTTCAGGCCCTCTCTGTGTTCGAACAATCCTGCTGCATTTCTGACCTGCCACTTTGCTCACTGTGAATTTTAAGTTTATTCAAAACACTAACTTCTTTTTTTAAACTTACCATTTCATATCTTCATTTTTGTCCATTAGTTGAAATCATTCTTGAGTTGTTGGAGAGACAATATTACTTTTTTCTAGATATATTTCAAGAAAAACACCATGTCTGTGATTAAGGTCTTTAGGAGGTATAAGTAGTCTGTCACACTTGTTACATTTAATGTAGCTATGTAGTTGCAACATTGAGCATGTTAACTTTAAACATAGCTTTTAGAGTTTAAACAGGGTTATTATAACTGATATTCAGATTTGACTGTTTTATCATGATAAAAGTTGAAGTAATTCAGAACAACATAGCATGTAATTTAAAAGTACATATTGTCTCTGCCTTTTTCTGTATTTCATTGTTAATCTTTTGTTTCTCTTCTTTTTCTCCTAGTGTTCCCATAGTGACAGTGCATTTTAATTTAGCCAATTCTACTGTCTGAAGCACTACATTTCTTTGTGTATACTGACCTTGTTTTTTTACCTCCTTTTTCTCTCTCTTCTTCTCTGTCCCCCTCTCCCTCTTTTTGTGTTTAAAAAAAAAAAAAAACCTCATCCCAACTCTTGCCAACTGACTGCACGCCCCACGACCAATTGTTCCTTCTCTCCTCCTCTCTCCCACCCCTGCCACTCCTCTGTAACCACAACTACAACCCCTCCATACAACCACCCTTTTTCTCCATAATTCATTTTCCCCAATTTGGATTCCACCCACAAATTCAAAATACAACATTGGCAACCTTGATTTTGCCATCATATCTCCACTCTCTTCTTTCTTTCCTCCTCTTCTACCATTCTCATGCTGTTTGAATCTACTCCTCCTCTTCTTGTCCTCTCTTCATTCTCTCTGTCCCTCATGCCTCTCCTTCCTCCATGGTACTGTGGCCTTCCTGTGGACCTCGCTGCCTGTGGCCTGCGGACATGTCCCGACTCCACTCCACTGTCCTCCACTCCGCTCCGTCTCTTTTCCCCTGTCCCCTGTTCCCTGTACCCTATCCCCCTTTGGCCCCCTGCCCCGCTGCTCCCCCTGCTGTCTCTAAAGAGCGTTACGCCACACTGCCTCTTTATTCTTTTCGGTACGTTATCATCCTTTCATCTCTTTTTATTTATTACTACTGTTACCTCGCAAGGTGGGCATGTCTTGTCTCATGTTGTTGGCTTTGTTTTTTTATTTTTAACCACTGATGTCTTGTCATCAGCCTTACAGGGCTATGAGGGGTGGGGGTGTCTTTGTTTGGGGGTTTGTATGACCTGTTTTGGTTTGTTGTGGGTTTGTGTGAGGAAACTAAGGTGAGAATGCCTCACAAAGCTGCAGCATTTCATTAAAGTTTAAACAGCAGTACTTTGCCCTCCATAGGCAAAAAGAAAAACATTTGCAGTTTTTCATCTTCAAAGAGCGCCCCAACGGAAATAGCGCCTCACTAAATAGAAATATGGGGATCATTTTGTTCAGGGATGAGGCGAGAAGCCAACCTAAATACTAAAGCTTCACCCCCAGGAGCAGGATAAAAGTCAACACTTTATTTGGTTTTGCATGGTCCAATTTTAAACCATGAAAATTCATCAAATTTCCATTTTTTTTTTTCATATGTTAATTTTTTTAGCGGGTGCCCCAAGTCACTTAGCAACAGTACATAGATGAAATGCTGCTGCTTTTTTAGTGTTTATGAGTTGACATATCTCTTGGATTATGTCACCATATAATTATTTTTTGCAGTTTGTCTCAGTTACTCTAACGTAGGTATGTGCATGTTTAGTTTACACCTGCATGTCGCTCTCTCTCTCTCTCAGGCCCTCAAGTTAGTCAAAAAATCAACTTCAATCAATACTACTCTTTTTTTTTTTTTTTTTTTTTTTTTTTTTTTAAACACTTTGATTTATTCCTTCAAATCACTACTCCTCCCCTTACCCCCCATACCCATTATAGCAATCATCTTCTGTGTAATTGTTATCTAGCAGGGCTCATGTAGGATTAATTTAAGCGAGTCCACTGAACATAAAATTAGTAGAAGATCCTGACTATTACTTATATTTCTGACAGTATTCATTCAGTTTCTGTATAAATGTCCTAGAGTTATTGGGTTTAACTGTTTTTGTTGCTGTGATTGGTTGTGTAGCTCCTGTTAAGGTTGAGTTCTTCTATGCTGCACTCTTATTGTGACACCCTCCTCTTCCTCCTTAGGTGTGTATGGCGACGTGATGAGAGTGAAGATCCTGTTCAATAAAAAGGAGAATGCTCTGATCCAGATGTCTGATAGCACACAGGCACAGCTAGGTAGCTACACACAAGCTCTACAAAGCACTGCTGCTTGACTATTGCATAGCCAATAGGAAACCAAGACATTGATTTACCATGTTGTTTTATCCTTTCTCTTCACATCATTTTATCATCCTGTACCCATGTTTCAAATCTGTTTCTTGTCTCAACTGAAGTAGATGACAATATGAGTAAACAGTATCATCGGAGAGTCTAGTTGACAGATGTTCTAACAAACAAGTGTTGACTGTCTTTGTTTTTTTTTTTTCTCAGCTATGAGCCACCTGAGCGGCCAGCGTCTTCATGGCAGAGACATGCGCGTGACATTTTCCAAACACACCACCGTGCAGCTCCCCAGAGAAGGCCACGAGGACCAGGGCCTCACAAAGGACTACGGCAACTCACCGCTGCATCGTTTCAAGAAGCCTGGCTCCAAAAATTACTCCAACATCTTCCCACCCTCCGCAACACTCCACCTCTCCAACATACCGTGAGTGCTGCTGCGAGAGGCTCATTTTCATTCCCTCTCTCTCCCTGGCAGCTTTTGCACTCTAAGCTTTTTTGCTTTGTAGTCCTGAGTCATTTTTTTTTATTAAGTGCCTGGGATTACGTAGCTGTGACGGTATTCCCTAAATTATGCATCTCTAAATGTGCATGTCAAAGGGTTTTACATTTAATGATGTCCTGTGTGTGTTGTTTCAACATACCAGAAAAGAGTCTAAAATATGCTATTAAGTTCAGAGTCTGTCAAACTTCTTGTTAAACTCTTTGTTTTCCTCGCTACTTTCAGGCCGTCTGTGGTGGAGGATGACCTCAGGAGACTTTTTGCCAGCTCAGGAGCCACAGTCAAAGCCTTCAAATTCTTTCAGTAAGTGTCATTCCAGTTGTGCTCAGTTTTGTTTTAGGTTTATGTCCTTATTGCTTGATAAATTCCTGTTTTTCTTCAGAAAAAATTACAGCCTCAAGCACAATGTGGCAAATTGCAAGCAATATTCTCAAACCTAGGCAGCATTTTGACTTTTTCAAAACACACAATATTCTTTTTTTAATTAACAGAAAGGATCGCAAGATGGCCCTGATCCAGATGGGCTCAGTGGAGGAAGCGATTGAGTCCCTCATCGAGTTCCACAACCACGATCTGGGAGAGAACCACCACCTTCGAGTGTCCTTCTCCAAGTCCACCATCTGAGTGCCTTCTCTTCCTCCCTCCAAACCTGTTGCCACCTGAATGCTACTTTTGTCAAGGTTGCCTTCAGTGGAAACGGCCACCATTACATATGGCTGTGGTTCTTTGTAGATATTGCTCCCCTGACCTCAACTCTTACTTATATCCTACTTCTAAAGTTATAAGTATTAGCTATTGGTATAAAATGTCAACATTTCTGATTTAAAAAAAATAGAAATATTGGATTGCTGGGATTCAAATTGTTTTTAATTCTATCCCCCATTAATTATTGAGTAGTTTATTTCGGCCCTGCAAAATTGATGGTATTTTTCTTTCAGTCCTCAGACATATTGCATTATTATATCAACCTTAAAATCAGACAGAAAGTTGTCTTTACCTCGTGATTACATTATCTCTTTGACTTTATTAAAGGTTAGCTAAGATGGCACAAAAAAAGAGCCCTTACTCTACTCAGGAATCAGTTAGGGCAATCAAAGCAAGCATGTTTTTGATCAATAATTAGTTTCAGTAGTTCTTTGTAGACCAGCCTAATTAATTTGATCCAGTATATAGTTTTAGGAGGGGTCTTGGGGAAGGGGCAGCATTCTGCAATGAACCATGTTATCACTTTGGAGGGCAAGTACAGGCAGCCGATGAACAGTCACTTTAGACCAAATCGCTAAAAAAAAAAAAGACACCCTCCACCATGGATGTATGCTTCTATGGGTGAATCACATCCATACCAGACACACTTAAGCATTCCTTGTACTATGATAGTCGTGTGGATATATCTGTGTGCCTTTTTTCAAATGCCACTTTGAACCTGTTTGGCCAGTTGGAAACGGTTTTACACAAAAGATTTAGTTCTGGCTCACAGCAATTTATTTCCTTAGTTTCCATTTAGATTTGTTTTCTCTCTGGCAACACACGCCTTCTTGCTTTGGGGGATCCATACCACTATCTGAAGTTATTCAATAAGGACACAGTCTTCTGTCAATGCCTTTATATACAGTCTTGTGCCTTACTCTGCCCCAACTGTTTGGCCTAGAGCATCGCTCTGGCTTCATTTGGACAGGACATGGCTCTTTAAATGCTCCCCCCCCATGCCTTTTGGTATGTACCAGCATTGTAAGAACACAGGATGGGGGTCATCAATCTTCAGTTTTCTCTTAGGAACACAAATGTTTATCATTAGCTTTGTATGCATATATCCCCGTTTTATGTATGTAGAAACTATGAATGTAAGTCAGTTTAGATGCCTTATATTTTTACTAGGTGGTGTAGCTCTGTTAGGTGTTTTGTGGCACGAGTTGAGCTGGATCCAGCCCTCCTGTCTTATAGTCCCCACTCGCCTTCATTAAGTTCTCTCTCAGTAGGGATAATGGTGATGGGGGGCCTCATTTAACCATATTATGTTCATCTATATGTGGACACATATATTCATTTATCTTTTCTTTAAATGTTAGCATTTACACGTGTATCACTTCTACGCTTAACTGATACCTGTATGTAGTGGCTGGGTTTGATTATCACAGTGCCTTGACTCCTTAAGTTTTTAGTGTGAGGCTGAAACACTCTGGCCCCTGTCAGTTGACTTTGTTTACCTCTCATTCAGGTGTGTATCTGACCTGTCTGAAAAGATGCCTTTATTTCATTTTTATTCAGGTAACCCTACCTGTGAGAGGGCAGCTTGGAGGCATTTGTCAACAGAAAGTACCAACAGCCTTTGACTATGCCTAAAAAAACAAACAAACCCAGTTTTATGTTTTTGCTTAAGTTCAAGATTCAGGGTGAGAGAAGCCCTCGCCCAATCCCAGTCTGCCTAGCTGTGCCACAGTCAGGTTCTTTAGTGCACTTTTCCTCAATGATAGGTCCAACTTGGTACCATCACGCTGAAGTCTTAAACATCGTCACATTCCTGTGTGCCTCAAGCACCAGTTTCCACAACCTCGACCACTGTAGTTTTGGACCAGATGCAGACGAGCTCTGTCTCTATTTTTGTAAAAGATTGTTATGCATGGTGTAACGAAGCTTCATGTAGCTACAGACGGTTATTGCTGTTAAGGACCAAAGTATCTTCTACCCCCGCTGTTTTGATGTGTTGTGATTGTTTTTTCTTTTTTCACATTCCTGCTATTCCACAGATACACAAGTTTTCAGTGTCCTTTTTTTCTCTCCAGTTGCTCAAATGACAAAAGTCACATCAATTTGAAATCTCTTTTTAGTTTCAACCTTTACTGTAAACTGTATCTCGTTTTGTTTGACTTTACAAAGAGCCTACTTTGGTAGAGATTGCCTTAGAATGGATACTTAAATGAACCACAGTCCTAGCTGTGATGTTGACTGTGTAGATTATATGCCTTTCCATTTTTGTTAAAAGCTTTTATTTTCTCTCCTTTTTTTTATAGGGGGTGGGGTGGGGTTATTGTATGAAGTTGGGTTGATGGTTGTACATATTCATGTTTTTGTACCACAAATTCATTTGGATTATTTCCACTTTAAGTTCAAAACATGTATATTTTGATAAAACAATACAGACCTATTAGGCTCTTGGAGCTGTAAAAACAGAAAAAAAGCCTTTTGTAACACAAAGACATTAAACTATCTGAACACACAAATGTCTCTGTATGTGCCCCCCACCCCCACCCCTTTGCCATTCTGTTCTTGTCTCTTGCATCTTCTGCTGCCTTCAATAAATCTTTAGTTTGTTCCTTCTTTCATCTGGCCTCATTTGGTTTCTGTTTCTTCCTCTTTGCTGTGGAACTACTGCTCTTTAACAGGTAACACTTTGTAACATTTTCCCCTTTTCCCATCCTGTTTACTCCTGGTGGGGAGTTTGTTTTTTTTCTTTCACTGTATTTCCCACTTTGCACTCATCCCATCTGAAACTTGACTGACTGCTCATCTGAGCCCCGCTCAATCCCCCCTGATGAAACAGCTGCCATGACGATGGCAGCGTTGAGAGTTAATTTGATATGCAGCGCCTGGATACTTGCTGCTCTCAATGATTCTGAATAATCCTCCATCCTCTGTGATCTTCTATGACCTTTTCGGTTTAGCAGGTCTGTCTTAGAAAGAGAGCCAGGTTGCTGTGGAAACCGAGTGCCTGTATAGCATATGATGAATAATGAAGATAAAACATAAGCATGTCGATTGGGGCATATCTGGCATCGCTTCTTGGGGATGTGAGAAACAAACCTCAATGACAGACTAGCTGTTCATTTACTGAACCACTAGGGGGAGGTCTTGCTCTCTGCTGGCAATCAAAGGCTGTTGAGCAGAGGTGACTTTACCTGCCACTCACACAATGTCAATAGTTAGTGGCTTAATCTCAAGTGCCTCCTTGGGCTTTCTGGCATTATACCCTGTTTTTTCCTTCTTCGACTCCCTTACAGAGCTGCAGAGGGGATTAACCTCACATCTTCCCTGCCTTTTCAGAGAGGGACAAATGACAGAAAAGGAGAACGAGTCCACTGCTGTCTGTATTTGTGGTTGAGAAGTGCTGGATTTCTGTCATATAAACCCAGCTATTTTCAAAGTGTGGTCTTGAATGTAGCGTGCTCCAACTGAGCGTGAACACCAGAGAAAAAGGCACTTGTTTGTTCTTCTGTTCCTTGGCATAAGCAAGTGTGCTTGAAGGTCGTAGAAATGACAGATACCTGCATCCTACTCGCTGGATAACAGCAAGCTGTTGGATTCTAAAAGCAGATACTTTATTTGAATGTTTCCCTTCAGGTTTCAGAACAGTCACCTTTGAAAGATATCTTCAGGCATCCTTTTTAAACATCTTCAGTGTGTCTCTACAAGTCAGGGAAACTCAATGGCAGCAACTGGAGGCTTTGATGCTGCTTTGATACCTCAGACTCTTGTTTACTTGCAGCTTCTTTAGTATCTCGCTCTGCACCAAGAGTAATTTAGAGCAGTGAGCAGTCTACACAGCATCCTCTGCGGAATACACTGAAATGCAAAGAGATTGCATAATTGGGTGGAAGGAGAACTCAAAGTAAAATGATCCAAACATAGATTTGTGATGTGTTTTTGGGGTTATCAAATTTAAGAAGTCAACTGCACACAAAATATGAATCTGTGGAGACACTATGAAGGTAAAGAACTAGTTGGCACTACCTGTCCATCAGAGGCACAAAAACATTCTCCTAAACTGCTCTGATCAAAAAGTAATTTGACACCAAAGAAAGATGCAATTCTGTTTATGCTTAGCTCCGGCACAACATCCAAAATGTCACTCCCCAATTGTTCTGTAACTATTTCAACGTGTCATGCATGTCACCATATTACTCCACCTCCCTTTTTGGCATTTGTTTGCAGACCTTTGGGAAGATCTTGGCTTTCTCCAGCGCCCTGTGCAAAGGGGGGACTAAATGAAACCATGTGGGGTTGTGATCCTTCCACATCTGGGAACATTTATTTCCATTAGCGCTGTGGCCTCTAATCAAGCAAATATACTCCCAAAACGCCAAGGCCACACTCACAAATGGAAACCTAGAGGTCAAATGGATCAAAAGACGGTCTTGTGTAAACTCTGTGACATGTTCAATCCTCACATTAGCGTCAGAAAAGAATGTTGGATGTCTGTTTTAGATTGACTAGATTTTTACATTTTGGTAAGCAGCTTGAAGACAGAGATCCAGAGCTGTGAGATAATGTCTCTAATTTCTGTCTTCTGTATGTGCAGAGTTACAGTGCTGAGCAATCACATACTAAACCAGCTCTTGTACCAGATTGTACACCCTTTAAAGGAGGATTGCGTCCATATAGTAACTCTTAAAGCCGCATTCCTTTTAAGATTTAGGTTCACTTTAAAGGCCTTTATGTCTGGATACATCCAATCGTGTGTAGTCTGCACAGTCTACACGAGATTTAGACTCACTTTCAGAGTGACGCAGCACAGATGAAGCCTGAAGCTGAGGGGAACGATGCGTCTTTGGTCGACAGTGACTCTCCTTAAAAAAAAAAAAAGAAGCCATCCAGAGACTATCCACCTGTTTACATATGCACGCCTCAGACAGATGTTGAATAATTCATCCACAGAGGCGGACAACATGCAGCTGTATTTGGGTTATGGGGGTGCATGAGTTCTCTCTCCCTGCCTGAATTCTCGCAGCCCAAATTACAGGCATTACTTTGCAGGCAGAGCAGGGCAAAGCAAAAAAAAAAAAAAAAAACTAGGACACTTTGCATAAAGGATCCAACAGAGAGGCACAATGAGAAGTGAAAGACGGCGCAGCAGTTTAAGATCATAACGGGGGTTTGTTTGGATGGGTACAAGTCAAATTGATTGAGTTTGTACATTGCAGAAAAACCCTTCAATCTCTATTGATTGTGTGCCTGCTAACCATTCTAATTGCCTTTTAAAGAATGCAAATGAGCTTGTTGCAAATAATTTCCTTGGATCAATTCCCATCTTGTTGAAATCCTCATTACAGCACAAGTTATTGACACATGTTGGATGATCCATGGAACACTTAGAAGAAACTCTGCAGTCCTATCTTCCTCCGTCAGAAGCTGAGGCTAAATACCACACATGTCAAGATGGATATGTTTTTTTTGCAGAAGAGTGTGCAGACACACTCTTAGGACAAAGTTAGCAGGGGTGGCAATGCTCTGTCAGACAGAGCTATCCAGAGGTTTACGGCTCACAGGTTTTGGACTGTGTGCTGCCTACGCTTGCCCTTTGGGCCTAATGGACACTGATGGAAAATGACTCCACTGTTCCAGCGATCCATCAGACACCCCCTCCCCTCTCTCTCTCTCTCCCCTCTCTCTGAGGCCATCCATCAGGCCGCAGCTTTCAAACAAGCTCGTGAACTTTATGGGCGCTTTACATGTCCAGATGCGATGCTTATAAACCGCCTTCAGTCGTACAGATGGTTGTACTAAACGGTTTGTCTGCCTCTGTGGGAACACTCCATAAATCATCCGATTGTTTCTGTTGGTGCGTAAATTCAAGTCATACTAAAAAAATGGAAGGTTAACTTTCCAAAATGTAAAAATGTCCTTTTTCTGATTTGAGGCTTTTCCTCCATACATCCTCGGTTGAGTATCACCGGGACGCAGTGAGTCAGCCAGCCCCGTGTCCCCAGAGGCGGCACGGCACGGCACGGCTGCAAACCCCGCCCGCACAGAAAGTAAAGCGAGAGAGAGAGAGAGAGAGAGGGGAGAGGAAAAGAGGAGGGGGGTGTTAGTGTGTAATGTTGTGGTGGGGGGATTTTCCTTAGACCGAATCAGGGTGCCGGTGAGTGTCGTTGCCGCCAAAGGTAGAGATTGCACCGGAGCTTGTTCGGGTTGAAAGCTGTGCTGATCAGCAGCTCCCCGGCTGCGCTGACACCAGCGGTGACGCACAGAGAGCGAGGGGCGCACCGCGGCTGGAGTCACATTGGATTAAAGCCAGAGACAGCGGAGGGAGCACCAAGTTGAGATGCTGCGAGAGCTCGTGGTACAGTGTGCGTGAGGAGGAGGATGCTCCCGTCTCGCGCTTGTTATTGTCTGGCAACTTTGGACTAAAATTAAAAGGAAAGGAGCGCGCCTATCTACCTGGGATGTATTAATGTGAACTGTAAAAAAAAAAATTTAAAAAAAGGAAATAGGTCATATAGGGCAGTTTTGAGGCTGTGGAGAGATTTTGAGGTGCGAGAGGAGCGGAACAAAGCGCGCGCCAGGCTGAACACAAAATCTGGGTAAAACAAATATGACGGCCGATTTTGACGTTTTCTCGCGACTGCTGATGTGCAACGAAATAAAGGACACTTCTCCAAGCCTCGGGTGATTCTGGATTGCAATTTACATTTGTCATCTTTTTTTTTTTTTTTTTTTTTGGAGACAGAGGGGACATTATCACGGCGGCGCATCGATATCCCTGCGCGTAATGGGAGAAAAGTTTCGGACCTTGCAGAGGAGTCGCACTCGCAGCATCCCGCCGACGACTCGTTTTTAAATAACATGTGAAACCCCCCCCTCCCCCCTCCCCCCTTCTGATCCGGCCGCGGCTGACGGGAGTTTGTAAGTAAAAAAAAAAAATTGAGTTATCCATTATGACTTGAAACAGCCTCGGGGGTTATCAGAACGCGCATTAAGCCAGTTAACGATCCATGAACCGCCCGACCCGATTTGTCCAAAAGACGCGCAGACGGACATTAATGATCTAGAGAGGATTTCTGCAGCAGCGGCAGCAGAAGAAGCGGCGAAAAGTGAGAAACTGAACACAGCGAGAGAAGGAGAGGTTCCCTCCTGGATGGCTATGATGTTGTGCCAGCTCGGGCAGAGGTGTGCGATGGAGGTGGTGCTGCTGACCATCCTGTCCTGGGTGTCCGTGTGGGCAGAGGAGAAGATCATCTTTGACAGACACGCTGTCTACTGGAACAGCTCCAACCCCAAGTAAGTTAGACTCAGATTAAGTATTAAAGTGAGTGTTTGAACATTGTTTACCTACCTACCTGACAGTAAGGTTCTCATGCTAATAAACACTGGCAGCATGGAGTCTGATGCACATGCTGCCTCTCCACATCAATCTTTTTTTTTTTTTTTTTTTTTGTCAGTGTATCCTCTTCAGGTTTTAACAGTGATTTTTCTGATTGTTTTTTTTTTTTTTCTGTTTTGCAATACTTGAGTTTAAAATGCACACACACACACACACACACACACCTTTAGACACACAGAAGTGGAAGTGTTTGTGTGAATGCAACCACACTGGATATTTTGTTCTGTGGAGCTTCTTTTGTCTCAGACAATGAGGGCATCCTGCCTCCTCTTCTCATCAGTGTCTAGAGATTTACTCCCGCTCTCACTCTCTCTGTCTCGTTCTCTCTCTCACACACACACACACACACACACAAAGCCATTACCTTTTCTCTTGGCTAATATCAGCCTCTCATGCCAGGAAACACAAGCGTGCATTATTACTCTGTCAATTACAAGCCATTGTGCAAAAAACCCACATCCATAAATAAACAAACAAAAGGGAAGCATAAACATGCACATGCAGGATTCACGCACACACACATTAACACACAAAAACAACACACACTCTTGTCTTTAGCCAGGCCTCTCTCATTGACATGGGGCAGAGCACACTGGGCCCGTCTGTCTAATGGTTTGTGACAACCCGACCAGGGTCTCTCTCTCTTTCTCTTCCTTTCCCTCTCTCACCCCTTCCTCTTCTTCTCTCTCTCTCTCTCCCCCCCCTCTCTTTTTTTCTCCTCCCCCCCTCTCTCTCTCCCAGGTAGATAAATAAACAGTGAAAGTGCTCCCTCTCACTCGCTCACGGCTGAATTAGTCCAAACTAACATCCCTGTCTCTCTGTCTGCCTCAACCAAACACTACACACACACACACACACAGAGCTTACAAGCCCGTCTCTGACTGCATCACTTTTCCACAGAAGGCTTCTCAAATATTTAACAGGCAGGGGGGAACATTTTCTCTCTTTCTCGCTGTTTCTCTCTTTTGGTCTTTCTTTTCGTCTCTGTGCTCCTTCCTTCCCACCGTACACACGCACACACACACACACACTATCAAACACAAACACCTACACATTGCAAACGTCACAGAATACATTTAAGCTATATGGATGGATGCTGGGGGCGCTGTTATTCCGTCAGGGTCGTACGGAGAACTTGAAACTAAAGGGGGCACATCAAAAATGCATTGCTGCTAAAGCAATGAATCTAAGGCTCTGGAGCTCTGGCAAGGTTGGTTCCCCCTGTTAGACCCTGGCACTGTCATTGCTCACGCTGTGCCTTTTTTCTGCACACACACACACACACACACACGTATAACTCCATCCTGCTGCACTTCTGAGGACCTGCCACTGACAACATTCATTCCTGAACTTTAATCTAAAGCTAATTCTCTCCCTAAACTTCAAGGAGTAAGTTTCTTAAGAAACCAGCTCACTTGCAAAAAGACATGTGAAGACAGACACTAAAATCAACCCAGCTCATGTAAAATTAATAGGCTGTTTCTGGTTTTACTGCTTCTCAGGGTTTTATTTACCATGTTTGGGCCATAATAATAGTAAGATTGTATTCACCAAGCTGCTCGCTGTGATTTATGAATGCTGTGAAATTGCCAAAAAGAAGTCCAGCAGGGTTCGAGAAAGCAGAGCGGTCAGGAGATCAGAGTGATAAACAAACTTACTGTGAAAAGGAAAATGATTGTGATCGTAGATGATTTGCCAGATTTAAGTTTTGGGAGAATTAGCATCCAGTATCAAAACAGCAATAACAAAATTAATCCACAAAGAAAGTGACAAGAATTTAAAAAAAAAACTTACCAAAGTCAAAGTAAAAAGGTAGTATCAGGAAAACAACTGGTTTAAGTCACGTTTACCGGGTATTAAAAAGGATGATCTGATGATTTTTCATTAAATCGTTTTTTTACATGTTGTGTATGTTTAAATGGTGTAGAGTTAATTACGCTTTAAATCAGGGATGTGATTACCAAAAAAATCCATGATTACATATCAATATTCAGACGTGAAGAGGTGATCCTCGTGAATCATAGATACAAATAAAAACATATTTTTCGAGGAAGGGGGTTTGTTTATTCTGTGGATTTCATGAACTTCTCCTTATTTTTACCGAATTGTGTGATGATAATTTTTGCTTCGAAGTATCCCTGATAGTGTTTGTGTTGAGTTTGATCTAAACATATTTTTGAAATTTGAAAGCCGCGAACCATGTTAGCTGTGTTTTCATTTGCTTACCGAGCATGTACTGCAAAGTGTGTGAAACGCTGTTAGCTAACGACACAGTGATTCAGTTTAATTTATCCAGGGGTGAAGAGCAACGAATTACAATTACTCACATCACAGTATCTTATTGTGTACAAGTATTCTTTTTGAAGATGAGTATTTTACTCTAACTTCACTTTATTGTAGGTGAAGTATAGTTCTTCAGTGCACTATAAATAGTATCTGTTACCAAGCAAAAAACTTTTAAGGTAAAAATAGGAGATGCAAGCTTTCCATCAAAATCTGAATCTGGCCAGCTGATAAGTGTACCACATGACGGTCAGGAGCACAGGTCAAGGGTAGAAGAAGACGCCTGCTTGCGCTCAATTTGGAAGACGGAGATGCCCGAGTTAGACCAAAGTGTAGTCAAAAGATGGGCACTGAAATGAACTTGATCTATGATTCATGTCATGGCAGAACAAACGTAGATATACAGTCTAACATTGGGGAAGTACAGATAAATGAATACGCTATACAATCTACCTACCTTTATGGTTTCATTATTGTCAGAAATCATGCCGTGTCATATTTACCATTATGTCTTTAGGATGACTGAACTGATCATCTTACCGTACTTGTATGACCTGTTGGCCTTGTTTGCTTATGGAACACTTCGGCCATCATTCTTACTATAAATAGTGTATTATCTGTACTTCTGCACGCACACAAAGTCACTGTGCAAAGAAAGACCTGTATAAAACAGAACTTTTGGTTTTTGCGAGGTTGTTTTCAACCCACTTTATCATTTGATCGTGCCGTTTTCATAACTGACATAAATGTCGTGATGTTGCCTCATCCCATCCCCAGATCTTAGCAACTGCTTTGATGAAAAAACAGACGAGAAAATCCACACCAAATGCTATGAACCAAGCTTGTATCAAGTATTAGTACAATTTATTGTTTATCTACATGTTCACCTACTTTGCTTTGGTCCCAACATTATCACTCTTGTACGACAGAGTGAACTGTTGTCGGCTGAGCGGTGCTTAGTGTGTTATATTCTTGTAGGGAGATTTCTGAGGCAATGAAATGACACAAACAGCTGCTACAATGAACAGCTGTTTGTCTTAATTGATCACACAACATCAAGCACACAGCTTGTATTGAGCGATCACTATGTGTTCTACTTGTGCCCATCAAAAGTTTGCTCCGAAATCAAACAACTTCAGAAGGACTTTCTGTGCAAGGTCACAAGCAGTGACTTTGTAGAATTTGTAGGATTGATAATCAGTCACTGTTTTGTTCTCACTACTTTAAAATAAACTTTATTTGTTTTCAAAGACGGGACTGTGGGAAACCACATGAAGTGGCAAGTGAAAAGAATATGTGAGAGCACTTGTGAAATGGTACCAAAAATAATCCACTATCCATGCATTACTTCTACTTAAATTCTGCCAAACAAAGAGCGCTTCAGTGTGTCATTAGCTGATTACTTAATGATTCAGTGCACCATTTTTACATTTGTTTTGTGCATTAAACCCAATCTCTACTCTTAAATAAAACTTACAAGCTTTAAAAAAAAGGATCATGTCCTTGCAAGTCCAAAGTCCACATCTTCAACATTTATTTTCCGCTCTCACCACTCGGACCAGTGTAGTCTTCAGCAAAGAGAAAAAACTCCACAAACACACTGTACGCTATACCTGTCAAATCCCAAACTGCAGAGGGACGAAGTTATCGACTAACTGGCGAACACAGTGCAGCATTTGGCAGCTTGAGAGCCAGATATTTCCCACGGGAGTGGTGGAGACTGAAAACAGGAGAGTAAATACTGGACATTTGCCGATTGGCCAGAAACAGGATTCAAAATGAATGCTTCCTAACAAAGCCCTTGCAGTGTGTGCCGCATGAAAGGTAGTTCATAGAGATACGTGAAAGGATTCTAGAAGGATTGGATGAAGGCCATTTAAGGTTGGGTTGAGTTGGTGGATAGAAATGGTTATTTGAGACACGCAGCGGAGAAGCAACAAACCCAAGGTTGGACACTCAGGGTGGTGCTTTATAATCTCCCTGTGATTTTGCCTACATGGAAAAGAAGAATTAGTGAAATGAGGCCTGGTCCTTTTCCTGACACTTAGTTATTGATGTCAGTGTTTGTGTATCTGTGGGATGTAGAAAATGGAGCGGCAAGAATTCCCCAAATGGTTAACTTTTCTAGATGGCTCTAGATGTATCCAGTCCTGCACATAGTTTTGGTTTTTAGGTTTAGAGCAAAAAGAAATACTGATACTCGTACATTTTCCACAGGCAACATGTCCTAGATGTGCCTGCCAAAAAAATCTATTGACCTCTAACTTAGAAGCTGTTCCAAAACTGAACTCAAATACATTTTTTTTTTTTTTTTCCCCCCCACATCATACTGGAGTGACAGCTAAAGTTTCAGAAAACAGGTATCTCAAAATGTTGGCACAGAAACATGAAACTTTCTGTCTGGCAACTTGCGAGACACGGGGAACGCCTTACGCAATTCGGTGGAAATGTGCTTGTGCGGACGTGGCTGCTCAGTATTTTTTCCAACACTCTCGATTTCTCTGGATTGTTTCTACGAGTGTTCTACGAGTCTTCTTCCCCGCTGTCTGCCTCGTCTTGCCTGCTCTATTTTTCCATTGCATGCATTATGGGATTAATTACCATCCACACTGAC